GATTTCCTAGATGTCATCACCAAAAACGCTTTAAATGGAGGGAAAATTAATCAGCACTTGGCACCGGTTTATTTGCTGTGCAGTGCTTGCAATATCAAATATCAAGCAGTGTCGCATGCGGAAACGTTAACAGCCGACACAGAATACATTGTGGACAAATTACAAGTTTCCGATAGTGAGAAAAGGTCTTTGAAGCAAATGTTCCACAGGGAGGAAATTAACAAAACTCTCAGAGGATTACTAGCAAGTGAAGTACGTCCATTGAGATTACCAAAGGAAATTTGTCCAGATCAACTAGCATATCTATATAAACTCTGGCAGTCCCTTCAGATACAAGGCTATCTGCACATACAAAGTACTTTTCCCTGGGACTTTTTCGAGAACGAAAATAATTTTGAAGAGAGCTCCATTGTTAAGCTAATACTGGACACAATGGCGAGGCGTCCACTGTCAAACAAAGACAGGAAGTTACAAAGACGTGATGCCTTGGTATCTGCGTACAAAAATGTAGGAAAAGAAACTATCAAAAGAATCCAGAAAATGTTTATGATGGATTTTCGTTTATTTGGTTATGATATTAACCCACCAACGTGAATGGTGTTTGCACTCAGTGTATTTACATAGATCTTGCTCTCCGATTGGTTGTTTGGCAGTCTATTTTATACATGTAGCTAATTATACTAAAAAGATATGAAAAGATGGGGTTTAAATCTCGTCCAGGTTGTTTGTTATTCTTTGAAAATATTACTTATTACGTTCTTATTCTGACAGCAGGCACATCAACATACTGGAAACACTGGTTTTGGTATTCAATAACAAAATAAAAGTATATTAAAATTGACATCATTGTTCCTATTTTAAATGATGCTATCTAAGTGTATATCCGGTCAAATTTTACACTTTGTAATAATAGCTTTTTTTGATGTTACACTGTCATAGTGCTAACCTTCAGCTAGCAATACCTGTGTAACATACTAGTATTCATTATTTAACTCCACTTTATAAAAGAATTGTTAAAATACTGATTTTGACGATCATTTTTTTTCTTAGTAACAGAATAAACTTATATATGTAACATTTGATACCTTTGTTTTTTCTAGTTGATATTATTTTCATCTCAGTTTTTCAAATGCATTTCTATTGAGAATTTCATTTCTACAGTATCGAATGGTATCTTAAAGTAGTAATGCATGGCACATAAAACAACAACTGTAATCGCATATTTTAATAAAATCACTTCCTCCTCAATTTTTAATATAATTCATTATTGCTCATTAATGTACTTTAATTACAGTGTACATGTATGAAGTTAGAATAATAAAAACAAACTTTTGATCCTATGAATTGACGAAGTACTCTGTATTAGATTTTATTTATATAGATATATATATATATACTCCCATAATTGTTTAGATCATTTACTGTCTTTTTAGGATGTTTCAGATTGAATAAATATGTATTGATGTGCTACAGTTTTTATGTAGGGATTAAATGGATTTTTTTCCCATATACATTGCGGCAATGAATAGCAGTAGCTAATCTACATTTCCTGTGGAGCGCGTTAATTCAATTCATATATTAACGTTAAGATGAACTACAATCAAAAAACGTTATAACCATTTTAGTAAATTCATTATTTTTTTTATTAGTATCGGACAGAAAACCATAAAAAAAGGAACAGCCTGAACTCAAGCCTAAACACAAAATTCAAATATTCAATTTCCGCCGATCAGCGAATTTTGTTGAAAAATATATATTTGTAATCTAATAATAATCAACACTTGATATTCCTGTCATTTTTTAAAGTTGATCTTATAGTTTTTTTGTTGCATTAAACACCGCATATTATAACGTCTATTTCAAAAAGTTTACGTCCTCACTATTTCAAATCATCGGTCACCATAGTAACCATACAGGACACCCATCGGCAGTAGGCATCTAGAGCTCATTTGAAGTTAAATGTACAACTGTTGAATATGCGGTTTGCCAAAACACCTGCAGATGTAAATGATGATAAATTCATGGATGAAGTGCCCTGTGCCATAACAAAGTTCTCTGGGTTTTATGTGCAACTTGATGTCACGGGGATTACCAACCCGGACGTTTGGGTGTTAGAAAGTTCGTTACCACGAGGAACCGTTTGCGGTTCGAAAGTCAGTTTCTAATATGACAATGTTATAAAAAAAATGATCAAAATGAATAATATTGATTGTATTATGGTCGCTATTTGTGATTTTTGTAATTGCTCGGAGAAGGGGAGATAACTCTTCTCAGAAACTGTACTCTGCGAAGTAATATGATATGTCATTGCGTGTGAAATCAGCTGACCGGTTGCACGATAATCGTTGTATTCATAGTGTAATCATGGTCTAATGGTAGTTGTTTTCAGTTGGTAGATTTATGTACAGAACAAACATCAAGAATGTAAGTATAATGTTGTAATCAATACGAAACAGCTATCATATGTGTGACGTCGAGGCATGAACTTTCAGGGATTATAAAAAAATATTTCAAATTTGCTCTGAATGTAAATTATAAAAGATTCTGTTCTGTTGATGTGTATGGGGTAAAAACCTCAATGGGTGTGGAGAAAATGATATTTCATATGAACTGCTTTGCAGTTTATTGAATTCCTGTCAATACGCATTGATGTTTATAAACTCCATAAATCTCACAAGAACTTGATTCTCTTTAGGAACAAATATATTAGCATGCTATATATCTCATCGGAGCACACACCATTCCCTTAAAATATAAAGCATATCATATATAACATACACTCTACAAAACAAATGAACCATTAAAGCGTACGCAATTGATCTACTCAATTTACAAGGAGGATATCATTAGCAACGTAAACATCCACATCGTATTGCATTATATATATAATCACCTAAGGGCAATTTTTTCAACATACAGCTACCATACGCTTCAAATTAATAGCCTGTAAGAGTTGTCAGATAACAAGAGGCCCAATGGGCCTGAATTGCTCGCCTGGTTTTAATCTCACACTTGTAATCTTAAAAGTGGACTAAAATAAATTACAGTCAGAATAGCAGTGTTTGATTCATAAAACTTATTAAAAGATTTACACATATGAAGCCTGTGACCTTGAATGTCTAACAAAGACATTAGGGTGAACAGAATTTATAGTCTTCAAACCCAGCATGCTTCTAGCAAAATATCATTACCCTGGACCTTTTGGTACAGAACAAATCATTTAAAGATGTAAACATATATTGACCACTGTAACCTTGAGTATTGGCGAAGGTCATTCATTTGAACAAACTTGGTAGCACTTCATACCAGCATGTTAATGGCCAAATGTCATCACCGTTTGCCTTTTGCTTATTAAGAAGAAGTCATTTAAAGGTTTTTGAACATATTTGACCCCTGTGACCTTGAATATTTGTGAAGGTCATTTATTTGAACAAACTTGGTATTTCTTCATCCTAGCATGTTAATGGCAAACTATCATCACCCTAGGCCTCTCGGGTATTCAGAAGAGGTTGTTTAAAGGTTTTAAACATATTTGACACCTGTGACCTTGAATTTAAGTCATGGGCATTCATTTGAACAAACTTGGTAGTCCTTCATCCCAGCATTTTCTTGGCCAAATATCATCACCCTAGGCCTCTTGGTTATTCAGAAGAAGTTGTTTAAATGTTTTGTACATATTTGACCCCTGTGACCGTGAATTTAGTTCAAGGTAATCTATTTGAACAAACTTGGTAGCCCTTCATTCCTATTTGCTTCTGGCCAAATATCATCACCCTAGGCCTCTTGGTTATAAAGAAGAAGTTGTTTAAAGTAAAATATTGACGCCGCACAACGGCATAAGCTCACTTGGCCCTTCTGGCCAGGTGAGCTAATAATCGATATGACATTTTTTTGTGAAACAATCGCATAATATAAGTAATCTATCAAGATATTTGTACACATTTTAACAATAAGGCTACACAAATGTTACAAAGAAATATTATAAAAAAGAATTGGAATCGGGGTATCAATTGTCTAGAATATTTTGTGAGGATAACAAAAACAGCTTAAAGACAGTACATTTATCTCTATATATTGAATTTTATCCCCCCTGGATTATCTAATTTTATTTTCTTGGAATTTTACGAAGAAAATACTATCTTTTTTGGTAGGAAAAAAGGTTTGATTGCCAACTTTTGATAATTGATATCAAACCCAAAATTAAAAGTATTTGACTACCGGATGTGGTATTCAATACGAGATCCAACTTTATGAATTACAGAATCAGCAGAAATAAGTGAAACATAGTTTATTTATTCCCGTTGCTCACAACTGTTGCTAACATCTTTTTAATTCCATTTCTGTTGCTTTATTGAGTTCTACAGTATATAACCGTAATTTATTATATTTTCCATGGCGCAAAAGCCATAATTCATCTCACATTTGATTATTTTCTCTTCTCCCGTTTTTATTGGAGCGCATTTTTATCATGGATATGAGTTTCCTTGTAAACATCATAAACTGATGACGTCTTATACATGTGTACTGTTTATCATTGACGTCATAACAGCATTTAGTTGCGCGATGAAGCTATATATATACGTATGTTAAAAATAAATATCTTGTTAAGAAAAAAAAATCCACTATATATAATATATCTAGCAACAAACACGAAGTGGATATAAAGCAATATTCGTAAGAATGTGCTCACTGTTATTTAACTATTTTCAATAAGATTGAAGAACAAATAATATAATGAAAAATATAAATAATATGATCACGAAGAACACAAAAAATCATGAAAACTACAAACACCTGTACGATATGAAATGGCAGGCGAGCAACAGATATGGTATAGACAATACGTCAAATACCAGAAACGCTCGTTTTTAATGTTTACATGTTGATTTATGAAACCTTTATTTATTATCAAATGTTTATTTTCAAGTACGAAACAAGAAATGTTACAACATGTACAAGTTAATTTCACATTTTATAGTCATTCACGGTCCATTCATAGTTTCACTTCGAGAACATGTCTCGAAGGCATTTTGGTAAGTAATCCAATTGTATATCTACGAAATGATTCGAACTACTTTGGCCGCCTGAAGCGAGTTATGACACTGATCAATAACCTATTGTAAGTATTTATGTTAAGGTGAGTCCATGCAATAAGTAAGGGTAAAATCAAACGAAAGTGGCGTGAACAAATCAACCCTATTTAGCCACTTGAATTTATGTCGTTAAATCACGCTTGCCTATGAGCATGCGCATACAAATAAAGCAAATGAGAACCTCACCTATTGCCAAAAGTCCATTCGACCTCTTTGTAGTTTCCTCCGACCTTCAAATCTCGTAAGGATGGAATAACAGTAACCCAAAACTAAAGAATGTCTTCTCTACTATTTCACAGGTGAGTCTTTTTAATATTTGTCTTAATTGACATGTTCCTCGGTATTTGTTGTAAATGTTATTCACCATAATATTTTGATTTACAATCATTTATAATATTAATAAGTGTACGTTTTATGACCTTTAGCATGCTACATGTATACAAACTATCACAAATCATACATTTTTTTTATTTCAACACAGTGCATTTACGTCAAAAATGTGTTATATGTTTATTCAATGTTTAAACATTTATTGCTTATAATCATGTGTGCTGTGAAATACAGGAAATTCTTATTACTTTTAAATCTCATGTTTGAAAATTCTGGTGTGTTATGTAGCTAGGCATTATTTAATAAGTTCTTTATACAAAACGTCAATTCGTCAATTTGGCGTCAGAATATCATTTTTTTTCACAACCCCAGAGTACGTCGATTCATTTCACTCGTTTTCTAAAGTACATGTATCTATCTGGTACATGTTAATTAATATCATTCTGCTTTAACGAATCTGCCATTTATATTAAAAACAATGGCTGGGGTGATGACAGACATCAACCCCCTAACAAATTGTTTACAGCGTTTTTATTATTTATTTATTTCTTGATTAAAAAAGAATAACCTAGAAAGAGCGTAGGTTTTGCTGATTTGTGATATATACCGATTCATAATTTTGCACGATAGATAACTAGTATTCACAACATAAGTTTGTGCATCATAGACCATCTTTTTGGTAACAGTGGAAATTTACAGTATTAACATTATAGCTTATATCGTTATAGTGCCATCATTTAGAGTAACTCTTTCTTTGACATGTTTAATTCATAAAATGACTTAGCAATATGGATGGTCGGTTTGCGCAGTGGAAATCGCATTCGCCTTTCACCAATAGGAACGGGGCATGCTTCTCAAACAGTCACCTGCCCGACCACGTTCGTCTTCGTGTAATTTGTTTTTTCCTCACCTTAAAAGTTCGAGCCTTAGTGTATTAAGGGAGAATTTAAACAGTTTTTGTTATGTTTACAATACATATACTTAAAACTGCTGATGTTGTCTTTTTGAGCTGTGTATTTTGTATTTTTAGCCAAACTGTTTGTGACCGAATTATTTTCCAATTGTTATATCCAATGTATGCTCAAACTGGAATTAATAACATACCGGAAGCATACTTGCCTAAATGGAAAAAACGATGTTTTTTTATCATTATTATTAATATTAAACTTGTTTTTACGTGTTTTTTATTTAGTGTTTTCAATAAGGTTTCTTTTGATTATAAACAACAGCCAAACATGGTGTTCGGATATCCATCTTGATGTTGATCTTGTTTGATAGTGCCATTAATTTAAATCTATTCATTTACTATTATCATATACATTACGGTTTTATATTTTAAAACTTTCTGGGATGGAAAAAAACTACAGTAATTACAGTAGAATTGTTATTACTTTATGAACATTCACTCATATGCTGTTTGAAAAAAATGAAAAACAAACAAACTGATTTGGAAAACAAAAATCGGCTCAGAAATAGCTTGGTGAACTCAAAAGCTCAAGACTCATTTCAAACTAGACGACATTGAATATGTCCCCTTTTATTCTGAATGGAAAACTATCAAGATTCGAATGTATACCGTAAAGTAAAAACGGAAACACAAATTTGTTGAAATTTAAGCATCAAACAATCAACTTAAGCAAAGTAAAATATATCAATATGGCTATATCGCTATGTGGCGTGAATATTCCTTTGTTGGCGATACAAAGAAGGGACCGACAGAATGCCTGATGTACTCCTCCCTTCATTGAGGTGTTTGAAAGGGATTCCATATTTGTAAGATAGTTTCCGGATTACAAATAATACCTCATGTCTTATATACATAATTTCGAAAATAATCCTTTTCGGACAGCCGAGTCGGTGGTAATTTCCTCTGACCTCAGCTGTAGTTTCTCCACTGTTCCAGATAAACAATCCATTCAAAACTTCTTTATGTATCAATATTGCGTGATGAGCTGGCACCTTGTGTTCATGTTAAGGTGATTTTAATGAGCCTACAGTGAAATAATAATTACATATATCAGCAGAGCACCGTGGTGGACAGCGGTCTGTGTACGATGTACTATGGTGTATTGACTCATAGATGGAAACTTATCCAACTGATACTTTTAGCTTACTCAATAACACTTGGAATCACTGTGCTGTGTTTTTACAGAGGTATGTTTGTTTTATTATTTCGCGTTTGTTTTAAACGACAACACAATTAGCCTGCGGTAAAATTACGGCTTACTAAAATAATTCAAATATCAAATTATCTACGCCAACAACCATATTCGAGTGGATTGATAGAGAATAATATAGAGTCTGCGTCGCATCAGGCGAATTGATAGACAGACACATTTGCATTCAGAGTCTGATTGTAAGGTTTTCTTTCAAAATACAAGGAGGTTTACTGCTCGAGTATGGTTTAGTCCCGGAGGTTTGCCATAAACTTGGTGACCACACTTATCTCTTTTCCAAAGTAGCACGCTCCATAATATACACACTTTACTCATTGTTAATTTGAAATTAACCCGCATTTCATTATTTGTTTTAAGATTGATATCATTCCGGGTTTTATGCAAGTCCCAATCTGTTTCAACAATATTAAAAACTAATTCGAACTGCCATCGTTTTGGCCCCTACCATCACCGATCGCGATGAGTTCTACTTTTGAACACCATATTTATTTCTAAAATACATAGCTGCAATTATATGTGTTTCTAACGTTCATCTTTTATCTTTATAAATATTCAATGCAAAATATTTTCAAAGCTCATACTTGATTTACCAAATATGTAATTAAAAAAAAATATGTAGAAAAATTTTAAATTTCTACTTTACAAAACCAAAGTCAGAAAACCAGATTATTTATATATTCTATGGATTATCTTTTCCATAATGTATGAACACACAAATTGTTAATTACTTTTCCCTAATTTCATCCTTTTCAGACTAATTATACTCATTTTAATACATTGTATAATAGGGTCAAGTAATGTGGAACATGTAAAGACACCATGCGAAGCAGCATCAGGAAATGTGGAATATGTAAAACCACAAAGCGAAGCAGTATCAAGAAATAAAGAACATAGAAAGCTACAAAGCAAAGCAACATCAAATGATATGATACCTGTAAAGCAACCATCAAAAGAAGCATTCACCATTGAGCCCTGGAAAAGTAGAATGGACGCCTTGAAGAGGGGCTGTGCATCAGGACGTAAACAATACCAACTTACCACTTCACAAGTTTCACAGCTGTACTACAGTTCTAGTCGGGCAGGTTTCTCTGTCTGTAAAGTACCAAAGGCGGGGAGTACATTCTGGACGATCATGTTTCTGATTCTGCAACAGCAAAAACCACCGGAAAAAGTATTTTTGATACCAAGGAACAAACTTCACAATAAGGCCAAAGGCCGTGAATCACGTCAACCCCCAAACGACTCGTCATTAAATATAATCGTTTCACGCGACCCTTACACACGCCTTTTTTCAGGTTTTATCGATAAGGTCTTCTTAGCAGGACGGAAATTGGAAGAAAATCAAGACACCAGCAATGCATATATCATAAACGATTTAGTATGTGGCTATAATACAACTTTTGCTGATTTCCTAGATGTCATCACCAAAAACGCTTTAAATGGAGGGAAAATTAATCAGCACTTGGCACCGGTTTATTTGCTGTGCAGTGCTTGCAATATCAAATATCAAGCAGTGTCGCATGCGGAAACGTTAACAGCCGACACAGAATACATTGTGGACAAATTACAAGTTTCCGATAGTGAGAAAAGGTCTTTGAAGCAAATGTTCCACAGGGAGGAAATTAACAAAACTCTCAGAGGATTACTAGCAAGTGAAGTACGTCCATTGAGATTACCAAAGGAAATTTGTCCAGATCAACTAGCATATCTATATAAACTCTGGCAGTCCCTTCAGATACAAGGCTATCTGCACATACAAAGTACTTTTCCCTGGGACTTTTTCGAGAACGAAAATAATTTTGAAGAGAGCTCCATTGTTAAGCTAATACTGGACACAATGGCGAGGCGTCCACTGTCAAACAAAGACAGGAAGTTACAAAGACGTGATGCCTTGGTATCTGCGTACAAAAATGTAGGAAAAGAAACTATCAAAAGAATACAAAAAATGTTTATGATGGATTTTCGTTTATTTGGTTATGATATTAACCCACCAACGTGAATGGTGTTTGCACTCAGTGTATTTACATAGATCTTGCTCTCCGATTGGTTGTTTGGCAGTCTATTTTATACATGTAGCTAATTATACTAAAAAGATATGAAAAGATGGGGTTTAAATCTCGTCCAGGTTGTTTGTTATTCTTTGAAAATATTACTTATTACGTTCTTATTCTGACAGCAGGCACATCAACATACTGGAAACACTGGTTTTGGTATTCAATAACAAAATAAAAGTATATTAAAATTGACATCATTGTTCCTATTTTAAATGACGCTATCTAAGTGTATATCAGGTCAAATTTTACACTTTGTAATAATAGCTTTTTTTGATGTTACACTGTCATAGTGCTAACCTTCAGCTAGCAATACCTGTGTAACATACTAGTATTCATTATTTAACTCCACTTTATAAAAAAAATGTTAAATTACTGATTTTGACGATCATTTTTTTTCTTAGCAACAGAATAAACTTATATATGTAACATTTGATACCTTTGTTTTTTCTAGTTGATATTATTTTCATCTCAGTTTTTCAAATGCATTTCTATTGAGAATTTCATTTCTACAGTATCGAATGGTATCTTAAAGTAGTAATGCATGGCACATAAAACAACAACTGTACTCGCATATTTTAACAAAATCACTTCCTCCTCAATTTTTAATATAATTCATTATTGCTCATTAATGTACTTTAATTACAGTGTACATGTATGAAGTTAGAATAATAAAAACAAACTTTTGAACCTATGAATTGACGAAGTACTCTGTATTAGATTTTATTTATATAGATATATATATATATATACTCCCATAATTGTTTAGATCATTTACTGTCTTTTTAGGATGTTTCAGATTGAATAAATATGTATTGATGTGCTACAGTTTTTATGTAGGGATTAAATGGATTTTTTCCAATATACATTGCGGCAATGAATAGCAGTAGCTAATCTACATTTCCTGTGGAGCGCGTTAATTCAATTCATATATTAACGTTACGATGAACTGCAATCAAAAAACGTTATAAACATTTTAGTAAATTCATTATTTTTTTTATTAGTATCGGACAGAAAACCATAAAAAAGGAACAGCCCGAACTCAAGCCTACACACAAAATTCAAATATTCAATTTCCGCCGATCAGCGAATTTTGTTGAAAAATATATATTTGTAATCTAATAATAATCAACACTTGATATTCCTTTCATTTTTTAAAGTTGATCTTATAGGTTTTTTTGTTGCATTAAACACCGCATATTATAACGTCTATTTCAGAAAGTTTATGTCCTCACTATTTCAAATCATCGGTCACCATAGTAACCATACAGGACACCCATCGGCAGTAGGCATCTAGAGCTCATTTGAAGTTAAATGTACAACTGTTGAATATGCGGTTTGCCAAAACACCTGCAGATGTAAATGATGATAAATTCATGGATGAAGTGCCCTGTGCCATAACAAAGTTCTCTGGGTTTTATGTGCAACCTGATGTCACGGGGATTACCAACCCTGACGTTTGGGTGTTAGAAAGTTCGTGACCACGAGGAACCGTTTGCGGTTCGAAAGTCAGTATTTAATATGACAATGTTATAAAAAAAAAAATATATCAAAAGGAATAATATTGATTGTATTATGGTCGCTATTTGTGATTTTTGTAATTTCTCGGAGAAGGGGAGATAACTCTTCTCAGAAACTGTACTCTGCGAAGTAATATGATATGTCATTGTGTGTGAAATCAGCTGACCGGTTGCACGATAATCGTTGTATTCATAGTGTAATCATGGTCTAATGGTAGTTGTTTTCAGTTGGTAGATTTATGTACAGAACAAACATCAAGAATGTAAGTATAATGTTGTAATCAATACGAAACAGCTATCATATGTGTGACGTCGAGGCATGAACTTTCAGGGATTATAAAAAAATATTTCAAATTTGCTCTGAATGTAAATTATAAAAGATTCTGTTCTGTTGATGTGTATGGGGTAAAAACCTCAATGGGTGTGGAGAAAATGATATTTCATATGAAATGCTTTGCAGTTTATTGAATTCCTGTCAATACGCATTGATGTTTATAAACTCCATAAACCTCACAAGAACTTGATTCTCTTTAGGTAAACATATACTAGCGTTCTATATATCTCGTCGGAGTACACAACATTCCCTTAAAATAGAAAGCATATCACATGTATCATTCACTCTACAAAACAAATGAACCATTAAAGCGTACGCAATTGATCTACTCAATTTACAAGGAGGATATCATTAGCAACGTAAACGTCTACATCGTATTGCATTATATATATAATCACCTTAGGGCAATTTTTCAACATACAGCTACCATACGCTTCAAATTAATAGCCTGTAAGAGTTGTCAGATAACAAGAGGCCCAATGGGCCTGAATTGCTCACCTGGTTTTAATCTCACACTTGTAATCTTAAAAGTGGACTAAAATAAACTACAGGCAGAATAGCAGTGTTTGATTCATAAAAACGTATTAAAAGATTTAAACATATGAAGCCTGTGACCTTGAATGTCGAACAAGGACATTAGGATGAACAGAGTTTATAGTCTTCAAACCCAGCATGATTCTAGCAAAATATCATTACCCTGGACCTTTTGGTTATACAGAACAAATCATTTAAAGATGTAAACATTTATTGACCACTGTAACCTTGAGTATGGGCGAAGGTCATTCATTTGAACAAACTTGTTAGCCCTTCATACCAGCATGTTAATGGCCAAATATCATCACCCTTTGCCTTTTGGTTATTCAGAAGAAATTGTTTAAATATTTTAACATATTTGACCCCTGTGACCTTGAAAATAAGTCAAGGTCATTTATTTGAACAAAATTGGTAGCCCTTTATCCCAGAATGTGACTGGCCAACTATCATCACCCTAGGCCTTTCGGGTATTCAGAAGAGGTTGTTTAAAGGTTTTAAACATATTTGACACCTGTGACCTTGAATAAGTGTCAAGGTCATTCATTTTAACAAAATTGGTAGTCCTTCTTCCTATCATGTTAATGGTCAAATATCATTATCCTAGGCCTCTTAGTTATTCAGAAGAAGTTGTTTAAAGGTTTTAAACATATTTGACCCCTGTGACCTTGAATATAAGTCATGGGCATTTATTTGAACAAACTTGGTAGTCCTTCATCCCAGTTTGCTTCTGGCCAAATATCATCACCCTAGGCCTCTTGGTATTAAGAAGAAGTTGTTTAAAGTAAAATATTGACGCCGGACGACAGACGGACGGACGGACGACGGACGCCGCACAACGGCATAAGCTCACTTGGCCCTTCTGGCCAGGTGAGCTAATAATCGATATGACATTTTTTGCCAAACAATCGCATAATATAAGTAATCTATCAAGATATTTGTACACATTTAACAATAAGGCTACACAAATGTTACAAAGAAATATTATAAAAAATAATTGGAATCAGGGTATCAATTGTCTAGAATATTTTGTGAGGATAAAAAAACAGCTTAAAGACAGTACATTTCTCTATATATTGCATTTTATCCCACCTGGATTATCTAATGAATATTTATTTGATTTACTTGGAATTTTACGAAGAAAATACTATCCTTTTGGTAGGAAAAAAAAGTTTGATTGTCAATTTTTGATAATTGATATCAAACTCAAATTAAAAGGAATAACTCTTGTAATGTATGTTTATTTGACTATCGGATGTGGTATTCAATATGAGATCCAACTTTATGAATTACAGAATCAGCAGAAATAAGTGAAACAGTTTATGTATTCCCGTTGCTAACAACTCTTGCTAACATCTTTTTAATTACATTTCTGTTGCTTTATTGAGTTCTACAGTATATAACGGTAATTTATGATATTTTCCATGGCGCAAAAGCCATTATTCATCTCACATTTGATTATTTTCTCTTCTCCCGTTTTTATTGGAGCGCATTTTTATCATGGATATGAGTTTCCTTGTAAACATCATAAATTGATGACGTCTTATACATGTGTACTGTTTATCATTGACGTCATAACAGCATTTAGTTGCGCGATGAAGCTATATATATATACGTATAAGCAATATTCGTTAGAATGTGCTCACTGTTATTTAACTATTTTCAATAAGATTGAAGAACAAATAATATAATGAAAAATATAAATATGATCACGAAGAACACAAAAAATCATGAAAACTACAAACACCTGTACGATATGAAATGGCAGGCGAGCAACAGATATGGTATAGATAATACGTCAAATACCAGAAACGCTCATTTTTAATGTTTACATGTTGATATATGAAACCTTTATTTATTATCAAATGTTTATTTTCAAGTACGAAACAAGAAATGTTACAACATGTACAAGTTAATTTCACATTTTATAGTGATTCACGGTCCATTCATAGTTTCACTTCGAGAACATGTCTCGAAGGCATTTTGGTAAGTAATCCAATTGTATATCTACGAAATGATTCGAACTACTTTGGCCACCTGAAGCGAGTTATGACACTGATCAATAACCTATTGTACGTATTTATGTTAAGGCGAGTCCATGCAATAAGTAAGGGTAAAATCAAACGAAAGTGGCGTTAACAAATCAACCCTATTTAGCCACTTGAATTTATGTCGTTAAATCACGCTTGCCTATGAGCATGCGCATACAAATAAAGCAAATGAGAACCTCACCTATTGCCAAAATTCCATTCGACCTCTTTGTAGTTTCCTCCGACCTTCAAATCTCGTAAGGATGGAATAACAGTAACCCAAAACTAAAGACTGTCTTCTCTACTATTTCACAGGTGAGTCTTTTTAATATTTGTCTTAATTGACATGTTCCTCCATATTTGTTGTAAATGTTATTCACCATAATATTTTGATTTACAATCATTTATAATATTAATAAGTGTACGTTTTATGACCTTTAGCATGCTACATGTACACAAACTATCACAAATCATACATTTTTTTTTTTATTTCAACACAGTGCATTTACGTCAAAAATGTGTTATATGTTTATTCAATGTTTAAACATTTATTGCTTATAATCATGTGTGCTGTGAAATACAGGAAATTCTTATTACTTTTAAATCTCATGTTTGCAAATTTGGGTGTGTTATGAAGCTAGGCATTATTTAATAATTTCTTCGTACAAAACATCAATTCGTCAATTTGGCGTCCAAATATCATTTTTTTTCACAACCCCAGAGTACGTCGCATCATTTCACTCGTTTTCTAAAGTACATGTATCTATCTGGTACATGTTAATTAATATCATTCTGCTTTAACGAATCTGCCATTTGTATTAAAAACAATGGCTGGGGTGATGACAGACATCAACCCCCTAACAAATTGTTTACAGCGTTTTTATTATTTCTTTCTTAATCAAAAAAGAATAACCTAGAAAGTGCGTAGGTTTTGCTGATTTGTGATATATAGCGATTCATAATTTTGCACCATAGATAACTAGTATTCACAACATAAGTTTGTGCAACATAGACCACCTTTTTGGTAACAGTGGAAATTTACAGTATTAACATTATAGCTTATATCGTTATAGTGCCATCATTTAGAGTAACTCTTTCTTTGACATGTTTAATTCATAAAATGACTTAGCGATATGGATGGTCGGTTGGCGCAGTGGAAATCGCATTCGCCTTTCACCAATAGGAACGGGGCATGCTTCTCAAACAGTCACCTGCCCGACCACGTTCGTCTTCGTGTAATTTGTTTTTTCCTCACCTTAAAAGTTAGAGCCTTAGTGTATTAAGGGAGAATTTAAACAGTTTTTGTTATGTTTACAATACATATACTTAAAACTGCTGATGTTGTCTTTTTGAGCTGTGTATTTTGTATTTTTAGCCAAACTGTTTGTGACCGAATTATTTTCCAATTGTTATATCCAATGTATGCTCAAACTGGAATTAATAACATACCGGAAGCATACTTGCCTAAATGGAAAAAACGATGTTTTTTTATCATTATTATTAATATTAAACTTGTTTTTACGTGTTTTTTATTTAGTGTTTTCAATAAGGTTTCTTTTGATTATAAACAACAGCCAAACATGGTGTTCGGATATCCATCTTGATGTTGATCTTGTTTGATAGTGCCATTAATTTAAATCTATTCATTTACTATTATCATATACATTACGGTTCTATATTTTAAAACTTTCTGGGATGGAATAAAACTACAGTAATTACAGTAGAATTGTTATTACTTTATGACCATTCACTCATATGCTGTTTGAAAAAAATGAAAAACAACACAAACTGATTTGGAAAACAAAAATCGGCTCAGAAATAGCTTGGTGAACTCAAAAGCTCAAGACTCATTTCAAACTAGACGACATTGAATATGTCCCCTTTTATTCTGAATGGAAAACTATCAAGATTCGAATGTATACCGTAAAGTAAAAACGGAAACACAAATTTGTTGAAATTTAAGCATCAAACAATGAACTTAAGCAAAGTAAAATATATCAATATGGCTACATCGGTATGTGGCGTGAATACTCCTTTGTTGGCGATACAAAGAAGGGACCGACAGAATGCCTGATATACTCCTCCCTTCATTGGGGTGTTTGAAAGGGATTCCATATTTGTAAGATAGTTTCCGGATTACAAATAATACCTCATGTCTTATATACATAATTTCGAAAATAATCCTTTTCGGACAGCCGAGTCGGTGATAATTTCCTCTGACCTCAGCTGTAGTTTCTCCACTGTTCCAGATAAATAATCCATTCAAAACTTCTTTATTTATCAATATTGCGTGCTGAGCTGGCACCTTGTGTTCATGTTAAGGTGATTTTAATGAGCCTACAGTGAAATAATAATTACATATATCAGCAGAGCACCGTGGTGGACAGCGGTCTGTGTACGATGTACTATGGTGTATTGACTCAGAGATGGAAACTATCCAACTGATACTTTTAGCTTACTCAATAACACTTGGAATCACTGTGCTGTGTTTTTACAGAGGTATGTTTGTTTTATTATTTCGCGTTTGTTTTAAACGACAACACAATAAGCCCGCGGTAAAATTACGGCTTACTAAAATAATTCAAATATCAAATTATCTACGTCAACAACCATATTCGAGTGGATTGATAGAGAATAATATAGAGTCTGCGTCGCATCAGGCGAATTGATAGACAGACACATTTGCATTCAGAGTCTGATTGTAAGGTTCTCTTTCAAAATACAAGGAGGTTTACTGCTCGAGTATGGTTTAGTCCCGGAGGTTTGCCATAAACTTGGTGACCACACTTATCTCTTTTCCAAAGTAGCACGCTCCATAATATACACACTTTACTCATTGTTAATTTGAAATTAACCCGCATTTCATTATGTTTTAAGATTGAAATCATTAAGGGTTTTATGCAAGTCCCAATCTGTTTCAACAATAGTAAAAACTAATTCGAACTGCCATCGTTTTGGCCCCTACCATCACCGATGAGTCCTACTTTTGAATACCATATCTATTTCTAAAATACTAGCTGCAATTTTATGTGTGTTTCTAGCGTTCATCTTTTATCGTTATAAATATTCAATGCAAAACATTTTCAAAGTTCATACTTGATTTACTAAATATGTAATTAAAAAAAAAATATGCAGAAAAAATTTAAATGACTACTTTACAAAACCAAAATCAGAAAACCAGATTATTTATATATTCTATGATTATCTTTTCCATAATGTATAAACATAAAAATTGTTAATTACTTTCCCCTAATTTCAGCCTTTTTAGTCTAATTATACACATTTTAATGCATTGTATAATAGGGTCAAGTAATGTGGAACATGTAAAGACACCATGCGAAGCAGAATCAGGAAATGTGGAATATGTAAAACCACAAAGCAAAGCAGTATCAAGAAATAAAGAACATAGAAAGCTACAAAGCAAAGCAACATCAAATGATATGATACCTGTAAAGCAACAATCAAAAGAAGCATTTACCATTGAGCCCTGGAAAAGTAGAATGGACGCCTTGAAGAGAGGCTGTGCATCAGGACGTAAACGATACCAACTTACCACTTCACAAGTTTCACAGCTGTACTACAGTTCTAGTCGGGCAGGTTTCTCTGTCTGTAAAGTACCAAAGGCGGGGAGTACATTCTGGACGATCATGTTTCTGATTCTGCAACACCAAAAACCTCCGGAAAAAGTATTTTTGATCCCAAGGTACAAACTTCACAATAAGGTCAGTGGCCGTGAATCACGTCAACCCCCAAACGACTCGTCATTAAATATTATCGTTTCACGCGACCCGTACACACGCCTGTTTTCAGGTTTTATCGATAAGGTCTTCTTAGCAGGACGGAAAATGGAAGAAAATCAAGACACCAGCAATGCATACATCATAAACGATTTAGTATGTGGCTATAATACAACTTTTGCCGATTTCCTAGATGTCATTACCAAAAACGCTTTAAATGGAGGGAAAATTAATCGACACTTAGCACCGGTTTATTTGCTGTGCAGTGCTTGCAATATCAAATATCAAGTGGTGTCGCATGTGGAAACGTTAACAGCCGACACAGAATACATTGTGGACAAATTACAAGTTTCTGATAGTAAGAAAAGGTCTTTGAAGCAGGTGTTCCACAGGGAGGAAATTAACAAAACTCTCGGAGGATTACTAGCAAGTGAACTACGTCCATTGAGATTACCAAAGGAAAAATGTCCAGATCAGCTAGCATATCTATATAAACTCTGGCAGTCCCTTCAGATACAAGGCTATCTGCACATACAAAGTACTTTTCCCTGGGACTTTTTCGAGAAGGAAAATAATTTTGAAGAGAGCTCCATTGTTAAGCTAATACTGGACACAATGGCGGGTCGTCCACTGTCAAACAAAGACAGGAAGTTACAAAGACGCGATGCCTTGGTATCTGCGTACAAAAATGTAGGAATAGAAACTATCAAAAGAATACAGAAAATGTTTATGTTGGATTTTCGTTTATTTGGTTATGATATTAACCCACCATCGTGAATGATGTTCGTCCTAAAGTAATGGACTGTATATAAATAGAATGACCATAGTTAATTATATTGATGATATTTGAAAAGACGAGGTTAAAATCTGGCCAGACCAGATATCCTTTTGAAATTTAGCAAAAATGGTTATCTACGGTACCAAAATAAGACTGCTTCATTGCTGAATATAGGAAAGTATTGTAGTCAGTGTTTTTATACCCTGAAGTTAGGTAGAATCGGCCATAATGGGCTAACAACTTAAGCAGCAGACTCCTCTTAGAATTTCAAAGTATAGTGAATACAAAAAGTTATAATTATTGGAGGTTTAAATCAGTTTCAGTACCAATTTGATGGAAAATTGGACCTTATTGAAAATGACCTGTCCCAGGTCCTCTAACAAATTTGTATCAATTTCCTTTATATGAAAAATACCTTTCACAATTTAGTGAATTTTGGAAAAAGTTTCTTGAATGATTTAATTAATTAATAACGGGCTTATATCGTCGTTGTCTTTTTTTAACTATTTTATTGTATTCATATTGGTCTGTATGTTGTTGATTGAAACGCTTATTCATTTAGTAAACTTTGCCGTGACTACCTGTATTCATAGTCACTAGTGTCATAGTGTCAAATGTATGAAATTTGTTTTTAAAAATGAAATTACCATTCACGAAAAGGAAGGCAGAATGACTCATAAGACATTTTCAAATAATTTGAATGTATGAAATTATCCATGCAGTTTAAATGTTTAAATGACGTAAAAATAAAAATAAATAGATAATCTATTGAATGAACAAAATGAAAGACGGTGCATGTGAACGTCAACTCTTTAAATGTAAAAAAAATATTACTTAGCGTATTCTTTCTATAAATATTTAACGACAATGCTTACTTTTGCAGGGAAGTAATTAGCATAACTGCTGCATAGCGTTTAGTATAGTAAACATAGTGGGGAAATATGCGTTATAATTATAAGAGACAGTGGCAATTCAATCTTCATTACTTTTGGAAATCTAACATTTACTATATTTGACATAATCCAAAAGCATTATGCTGGTTTTTAAATGAAACAAAAATATCTTTAGATTATGGAATTGCATTTTTAATGGAAATATATAATATAGACCGAAGTTGTAACTTTAAAGCTTTTATATAATTCTTATTGCGCTTAATAAATTACATATTTATTTTATTTTCCTATAATTTTCATGGTTTTAAAGTGTTTTAAGTGTTTTGACAAAAAGGTTGGTTTTTTTGCAAATTTGAATGTCTTAAATATGGTAAATAGCTGTTGTAACATTTTTTGGTTATCACACGTTAACAAGAGTACTATTTTGGATAAGACTTTATTAATTGTTTGTCATCTCTGAAGTTTCATTTCTGCTGAGTAGCATTAATGCTTTTCAAAATATATTATTTTGCTCCCATATTTTATGTTTATAAAGGTCGTTAATTTTCACAGTATATTTTCTTTTGGTGACGTCCTGAATATGTATTCTATGACGTTGCAATAAATTCAGTTGCCGAATGAACCCATAAACGGGCAAAAATTCATGTAGCTCTGTGTTAAACTTTGTTTATATAATTATATATCAATAACAGGAGGCACGGTAGTTTAATGGTAGGACGCCGGGCTCGTGACCGAAGGGTTGCAGGTTCAAGTCATGTCACGACACTGTGCTGTATCTTTGAACAAAATACTTTCCTCCGCTTGTTCCAGTCTACTCAGCTGTAATTGAGTACGTGGTTGGACAGTGCTGAGAAAGATATTGACTTGTTGCAAAGGCCCAATAACCACTGATAATAATTTGTGAACCGCTTTGAGACGACCTCCTACACACCATTCCCGTATCATACAAAACATCGTCATGCATTTACCACGTAGGTAATATATTCATATACTATCAATTAAATACAAGTATATCAGTAGCAAACATCTACTTTGTTGCAGCGTTATATGATATCAGTATTCAAGGGCATTAATAACAATTCAAACATACCGCCACGATACGTTTAAGATAGCCTACGGGTTGCCATATAAACACCATGTGGGCGACAGAGATACGATATTCTTACATCAGGATAGAATGATAAGATAGGTACATGTATGAAATTGAATATTTGTATATACTCATTGACAAAACATAATAACAAAAATAATGTAATACAAATTTAATTATCTTTTGGTCTGGGTATAATAGAAATAGGATGCGAGGTGCCGTATATCCTCTCTGTTTACTTCTTCTTAACAAGTGTAAGGTAGTATATTAGTACAATGATTTTAGTTTTACAAAACAGTACATGTATTAGGTAATCAATGGTCATCGAAAACATTTGTCAATATCATCTTTTAATTTGACTAATAATTTCAAACCTTATAAAAATTTTAAAATGTACCAAAAGTCCATATCAAAATAAACAATAGTCACAGAAAAATTGGTTGAATAATATTCTTCTTGAAGGAATTTGCATCATAATGCAGATTTGTTTTTATTAATAAAATCAATAAATCGAAAAGCAAATTTTGACACACAATTACTTGCTGAAACTTGCCTACATGTTAACAACGCATATATGTTATTTTCAAAAATGAAATTATTTTCTGATGGTATGATAGAAAGGATTCATATATAATACAAGTTTGACAAGCCCCTGTTTATATTAAACGCAGAAAAAACTGTCGGCTATGCTGAAAGTCGAAGTGTCTCTTCATTGGGGACCCTAGCAGATTTTTGTAAGATAGCCATCTAGGCCTGAATTTATTTTTTTATGCACAAATTGATTTTAACCAGTACTATTGTTCAATAAAGTTGCTTCAGTACAAAAGCTTCCACCGCAGTAAACTGAAATATCAGGATTTTTAATCACTTTCGTAAAAAATAGCACGATCATGATTATATTTGTTCTCTATTGCACTGTTCACTATACCAGAAGGCTAACAAAAGATTAAAGTATAATATGAAATATTAAGCAGGTTTTTTTTTTTTTTTTTTT